AATTGCCTAATTATGAGCTGGAGATGCTGATTACGTGGCTCAGGTGTGGTAAGGAATCAAACAGCAGAAATGCAGACGGGTCCTCGACCGCTGGACTGAAAGCCTCTTCCAGCTTCCCTTACTTACCTCAATCTTGTTTAGAAGCTGAATTATAAGAAATGAGCACTTGCTGGTAAGTGAGCCCACAGGGCATTTCTGAGAGCTTTTGCCTTTAGAGACTTACCTGAGATCACTCCACTCCTTCACTGAGATTCATTGCTAGCACTCGTTACATCTTTAAATAGTGATAGAAGTCCACCTTTCATCATCAGATCATCACAAAACTGTATCTCTGAAATGCTAACATGAGACACAAAGTTCAAAAAGGATTAGACTTAAATTTAGTCTCTGTTCAAGACAATTAGTGTAATTAGAGAGAAAACAAAACAAAAAAATATTTAAGTATATTTTCTGTCATTTTCACTCAAACTGCTCAAGAAATGGTTCATTAGAAGTTGGAACACCTGTTAGCTGCCTGCTTTGGAGAGCTCACCGTGTCTCATGTCAGAAAAGGCAAAGGTGCTGCCCTCTCTCTCTGTGACTTCTGTAGCTAACAGCAGCATTAAACAATAAGAACTGCCCGAATGCCCAGGGTGAGTAAAATGCGACATCGAGACAGCAGCATGAAAAATCACTTGCCCGGTTGGGCAAGTCAGTGTGGGTAATGGGGGGCGCAATGTGTTAACGAAACAACTTAACTGAGGCCAAAAGCAATTCACTTGAATATTCAAACCCTCGCCATGCAAAAATAATCTAATTCATTCACACAAAACTAACCAATGGTATAATTTGTTGACAAGTGATGTCAGAGAACATCAGTGAAGTGCGAATATGAATCGAAGCGCAAATACGAACCCTGTGACAGTGTGTGTGACCAGTGGTGGACGAAGTACACAAATCATGTGCTTGAGTTAAAGTAGAGATGCCCAAGGTAAAATATTACTCCAGTAAAAGTAGAAGTTCCTCCCTTTAGACCTCCACTTGAGTAAAAGTACTAAAGTATTTGCCTTCAAATGTACTTAAGTATCGAAAAATAAAAGTACTTAAAGATTAATTATGACTTTAATGTCCTATTATCATTTTTGTAACAAGACTCGCTTCATTAACTCATTTTAGGTGAAAATACTCCAGTGTCACCAGTCTTTTTCATAGAACGTCATTAATTAGTCTGTCACTGAAGGTTTCCATTAAGTAGAACCGAGTGGCCATGAAATAACTTTTTCCAAACAAGCAAAGTTTCAGTTTAAGATTTATTTGCAACTTAGTTACAAGTTTAAGTTTAATAAAAACTTTAAATAAAGGTTCACAAATGAGTTTCCTTTACTAAACTGCATCTGTAGGTCTCTGTTCATAAACATAACCTAGCCAAAATTTACTATAAAATGAAATGTGTTTGTATAAATTCAGAATAAAGACACGTCAGTCACAACTGCATATGAGTACATATTTCTATATTGTGGTCTGTTTACATAAAGTTAGGTTAGTTCATCATTTATGTTGAATAGACACTTTGAAAATTTGACGCTGCTGCACTGACGTTGAACCGTGTGCTGCACTGGGTCGGTATGACCAACAGGTCAAAACAAGCTCAAAACAAAGTGACCGCTGTGTCCTGATTGGTGTTCTTCCTTTGCGCTTCTTTCGTTTTGACGTTACGTTTTTATACATACGTAAGCCAAAAGGAACGACAGATTTCTCATAATATAATGGAGTAAAAAGTGAGATATTTGACTTTGAAATGTAGTGGAGTGAAAGTAAAAAGTCTCCCAAAATGGAAATACTTCATTAAAGTACAGATACACGAAAAAACTACTTAAGTACAGCAACAAATTACATTTACTTTGTTACTGTCCACCACTGTGTGTTCCACAGGGCAGCTGCTGGGTTGATGCTGAACTTCGGTGGGTTATGATCACAAAAATAACATTAGCTATTAATAACCTGCTTACTAGCTGCACTGAATCAAATCCTGCTTCTTAATCAGCTTGTGGTTGTTATGAATGACTGCTCACTAGCTAATTGCTACTTAGCAAGCCAGCTTACTTTACCGTATCATATTTACAGTTACAGAAACTCAGCAGTTGCCCCTCTGCCCTCTTTCAGCTCTCTCTCTTGCCCTCTGTGCTCCTGATTTTGGTTTTGGTTTCAGAATGAGTGAAAGCCTCTGTCTGCTCTCTTTAGCCGCATTATTTACACCATCCATTTGCACCCTGGAGGATCAAACCACTGTGGCTTTTGAGACAGGGGAGGGGGCCGTGGGGGCAGGATTTGGCAGATTAGCAGATACAGGAAACAGCAGGCAGATAAGCAGAACAAGCAGAACTTATCATGGAATTTATTTCTAAAATAACAGAAAACATCAAAGTTAGTTAAATTAAAAACCAAAATCAACTGATCTGCGATGCTTATGGAGAGCCCCACCAATCCAGGCAGGGCCCTGGTTAGTCAGGTCCACCATTACCCGCGTTATAGCGTTTTATAAAACCCTGCATATTATCACATGCAGATTATGTATCACTACATAGACGGGTATGTCACCGTTCATGAACACACACATAAGCGTCTCATGAATATGGAATAACATAGGTTGCCTCACGCTCCCTTAATAATATGCAGATGTATCCATTTAATATGCAGATGTATCCAAGTTCACTGATTGGATGTAAGATGTCAAAAGGTGCAAACATGTAAATTTTTATCATCTGCACACTTGCATTTTTACGTGTGAACACGTGATATTTTTACTCGTGCAGGTGATTGTTTATTAGACGTTTTGGCCCCAAATGCATGCCATAGGTGGGGGCGTTCTAGAATCACGCTCATTTTAAATGATGGGGAAAGTGATTCAGTTTTACTGAACCGACTCTTTCGCAAACGGCCCGATTCAAATTGAACGATTCACTGAATCACAAACCCCGTCACACTTGTGCTCATCTGCTCCACATACAGTGACTCTCAATACGAGCAGCAGGTCCGCATGTCAGATCATTCTCTGCTATCATCTTCAAACACAGAGGCTCTTCCTCGTGATCTTAGAGAGATCTTCTTGTACTTGATTCTTCTCAGCGGTTCTCTTTCATGCTCTTTCCCTTTCAATTTTGGTTCCACTCAGTGGTTCTTCTCCATGCTCTGGAGTTCCCCTTTTTAGTCTTAGTTCCAATATGTGGTTCTTCTTCATGCTCTTAGAGAGACTCTTCTTTTAAGTATTGCTTCCACTAAGTGGTTCCCCCTCATGCTCTTTTTTCCTTTTCAGTTTTGATGTTTCTCTTCATGCTGTAGAGTTTCTCCTTCTGCCTCTTGGTTCCTCTCAGTGGTTCTTCTTCATGCTCTGGAGTCTCTCTTTGAGTCTTGGTTCCACTCAGTGGTTTTTCTTCACACTCTGAAGTTCTCCCTGCTCTTTTGAGTCTTGGTTCCACTCAGTGGTTCTTCTTCATGCTCTGGAATTTCTCTTTTTGAGTCTTTGTTCCTCTCAGTGGTTCTTCTTCATGCTCTGGAGTTCCTCTTTTTGAGTCTTTGTTCCACTCAGAGGTTCTTCTTAATGCTCTAGAGTTTCTCTTTTTGAGTCTTGGTTCGACTGTGTGGTTCTTCTTCATGCTCTAGAGTTTCTCTTTTGAGTCTTGGTTCCACTGCGTGGTTCTTCTACATGCTCTGGAGTTCTCCCTGCTCTTTTGAGTCTTGGTTCCACTGCATGGTTCTTCTTCATGCTCTGAAGTTCTCCCTGCTCTTTTGAGTCTTCGTTCCACTGTGTGGTTCTTCTTCATGCTCTGGATTTTCTCTTTTTGAGTCTTGGATCCACTGTGTGGTTCTTCCTCATGCTCTGGAGTTCTCCCTGCTCATATGAATCTTGGTTCCACTGTGTAGTTCTTCTTCATGCTCTGGAGTTCTCCATGCTCTTGGTTGGTCCGACAGACGATGCCATCATACATCGATGGCTGGCCGATACTGTGATGTTTAGCCAGCATCGTGATGCCACCCCACCAGTGCAGAATATATCCAGTTATAAAGAACTTGGAACGTGTAAAAAGCTAATGCGAGTTTTTTAGGAGAAAACAGTGACGTTCAACAGTCAGTTTACCTTCTGGTTGTATTTAATAACCCACATTTCAACGCTAATAACTGGGCTTTTTCAGGGAGTCATTATGAAGCCCGTCTCACAGTCTGCGGTAGCTCTGCGCTGTTCGTGCCTGCAGCACTGCCGTGATTTCACCTTCACGCGGCTGGGTCTTAAACGAACGACCCTTCGAGAAACACGGATTCAGTCTTGCGAATCAGTTTGACTGACTCGCTAAACAGAACCGACTCACAAGACCGATTCGTTCGCGAGTGCACGCGAAGCGCTCGCTCACTCGCTCCGCACTTACAGTCGGCGACAGAACGAGCCTCTTTTGCGCGCGTGCACTCAAACATCAAAGCTCGGGGAGCGGGCGCGAGGGACGACGCCGGCGCGCTCAGCGGTTCCAGCGCCTTTTAAAAGCGATTCTTTTACCATCACGTTAAAATTTCAGCGTGTTTATGTGCTCGGACTGCTGGACCTTCTTCACACCTCTGACCTGACTCTCTCCAGCGGACTGACCCGTTTGTTTAGCCTGGTCGCGAGCGAGCACGGCTTTTTCCCTTTTGATGTTATGCCTCGTGATGTTGACTCACACGGACTGACCTGCGTGCTCGGCTGCGGCTTGAAGGAGTACAGCGCGACAGCTTTGCAGCGCTCGCGCGGCTTCACGAGGCAAGTGAACGGGGAGTACTGCACGCTTTATTTGTCTCCTGCTGCTTTTGCTTTGTTGCCTTGTCTCGCGCTTGTGAACGCCTTGTCGTTGTGTGCACGGTGGGCTGCTGTTCTCTCGCTTAGGTTCACCCCTCTCAGATGAAGGCGCGTGCATTTCCACTGCGGTCAGCCACGACATCCTGCTGAAGACTTATGGCCAAGCATGTTGTATATATAAAGCAGTGCGCGGGGTGGTTTCCTGATTGAAACGGTGCGCGAGGTCACTGCAGAACCCATCTCCTCTCCACAGGTGCTGAGGTGTCTTGTGCTTTTTCTACATCAGTTAAAGGTGCTAGTTTTTAGCTGGATTTTGGAGAACCTGCTGCAGCCCAGCACCTCTTATGCATGTGGACACTGCTGCTGCTACACGCTCACTACTGCAAGTACTGGATACGATAGTATTTATAGCAACCGAATGGCTTTTATTATAAAGAAGATGCTGACAGATCTTATTGCAATGTTAGAAGAACATAGAGAGGCATGTATTTACTTATTTACAGTCATTTCTGTAAGTTATGCTTTTGGGTATGATGTACCTGGTAGCAATAATAAGTAATTAATTCAGCAGTTAAAGTGATTTTGTGAATTTGCTTAAATTCAGAATCTCTTGCCATAGTATTCATTATTTTATTTAATAATAACCAAATTACTAATATGATAAATTAATGTGTTCACAACACATCAGCGTGTTCAGTTGGAGACGACACAGTTTCTGTTGCTTTTCACACAAAATGTGTTGGAATATTTCTATGCCCAGTTACAGATAAGACATTTTGTGTCATTTTCAACATAGAGTGTGTTGTATGACACACAAGGTGTTAAAACAGGTAGCACATGTGTGTTGTTATTTAACACATCACATTAAATATTTATAGTCATTTCTTGAGAAGCTTGCCTTGAGAATGGATCAGCACTTTTTCACCACTGTTCCAGAAGAGCATTCTGTATGTTAACTTTATTACACTTGCTTTATTTTATACAGCTTCTTACAAATGAGTCGAAGTGTGTGGAGTCAAAGAGTGAGTGTATATATATATATATATATTATATATATATATATATATAAAATCTCCAAAATGGTAACTTTAAGAAAAAATCTCCTTTGACCAGACTTTTTTCCAAGTGATTTTGGGCCGTTTCTTTTGGTCCAATTATCATGAAATTTACACACAATGTAAAGGGCAACAGGCGTACGTGTATATACACACACGTAAGCATTTCCTTACACTGTGAAAACACTAATATTAGAATAAATACAAATAACATTAACACAGTAATTAGAGATTTTACGTTTGTCAGTGTGCTCATTTAACCACTTCCAAACTTCTCCTTGAGGACACCCAGTATTATTTGTGGGTATCATCCAATAATTAGTTTGGCAAATTAATATTTTGAGTGAATTCAAGTTGCTGGTGGTGAATTTTAACAAATCTGTGTAATAGCTGGGGCAAGTTGAGGAATCTGGAGGCACACTTTCATAAAACAAGGAATACATGATGTATATACATATATGTGTGTGTTTTTGTGTGTGTGTATATATATATATATGTATATATATATATATATATATATATATAAAACAATTATTCTAGTAATAATTATTTATATATTATGAAGATTGTATAACCCCACCACGACCCAGAAGGATAAGTGGTTTAGATGATGTATGTATGTATGTATGAACATTGTATATTTTTATAAAACTTGAAGTATATTTATTCTTTTGTTGGGGCCAATTATATATTTACAGGGCCAAATGAACCATTTTCTAAATATGTTCACGTCTTTCTTCAAGTGTGATGTGGCAGACGTTTTGTTTGCTTGTTATTTTGTTAATGAATGAAACCTCCACATTCTGACTCTTTCTGTTTTCCTCTCACTCAGCTGTCTCTTCGCCGATGGGCATCAAATCAGCTCTCGTCATCTAAATGAAGTTACTCAGCCATGCAATGTTCCTGGAAGGCTGTGATTCTGCTAGGCTTGGCGTCGATCGCCATCCAGTACACAGCGATCAGGACGTTCACCGGCAAGCCGTTCCAGATATGCCCGGTGCCGAACCCTCTGAACTGCAGCCTGGGGCCGGAGGCAGAGGCTTTCGGAGGCTTGTGCGACGAGTTCCCTTATTTCTTTTACAACAACTCCAGGAAGACTCACATCCTCATTCTGGCCACCACTCGCAGCGGGTCATCTTTTGTGGGCCAGCTTTTCAACCAGCATTCGGATATTTTCTACCTGTTTGAGCCTCTTTATCACGTCCAGAGCACCCTGATCCCTCACTTCACCCACAGCAGGAACACGGCAGACCGCAGGGTGATGCTGGGGGCCAGCCGGGACCTCCTGCGGAGCTTATACGACTGCGACCTCTTTTTCTTAGAAAGCTATATCAAACCTCAGCCTGCGAACCACACCACGGACAAGCTCTTCCGCCGAGGAGCCAGCAAAGCCCTCTGCTCTCCACCCGTCTGCGATGCGTTAAGCCCCAGCGAGGCGTACCTAGAGGAGGGCGAATGCATCCGCAAATGTGCCTCCCTCAACCTGACCCTGGCGGCCGAGTCATGCCGGGAGAAACGCCACGTTGCCATCAAAACGGTGCGGATCCCAGAGATCAGCGACCTCAGAGCGCTCATTGAGGACCCTCGGCTGAACCTCAAGGTTGTCCAACTGGTCAGAGACCCGCGAGGCATATTGGCGTCGCGCATCGAGACGTTTCGCGACACCTACCGCCTGTGGAGGATCTGGAGGGCCACTGGACGCAAACCCTACAACCTTGACCTGACCCAGCTCAGCACTGTGTGCGAGGACATCCTCCGGTCCGTCAACACAGGCTTCAGCCGGCCCTCCTGGCTCCGGGGGAGATACATCCTGGTGAGGTACGAGGACCTGGCCCGCAACCCGCTTCAAAAGACCAGGGAGATTTACGACTTTCTGGGCTTCTCCATGGAGAAAAGCGTGGAGGAGTGGATCCAGAACAACACTAGAAGCACCAACGACATCTCGGCTAGGCACAAGTACGGTACGGTGAGAGACTCGGCCGCCAACGCCGAGAGCTGGAGGCTCAAACTGTCTCACGAAATCGTCGAACACACACAGAGCGTTTGTCAACAGGTTCTGGAGGAGCTGGGTTACAGATCTGTGAACTCGCGCGAGGAGCTCAGAAACATGTCCGTGTCAGTCGTCGAGGACAAAACTTTTCTACCTTTTTTGTAACCAGAATGATCGCACAGCTATTTTTCTAAATTTCTACTGTTGCCTTAATCCTTAAATTTGACTCATTTCGAACATATTTGCACTATGAACTTTGTAAAGCTTGGAAGCTCGCTTAACGAACAGCACAACAAAAACCAAACCAAAATATCGAATGAGGAAGAAATCGCAGCAAAACATGATCAGGAGGAGAATCACGGCCCTCGTTGAGATGCTAATTACGTGTAGTTAACAAACACCATGTGATTCATTTATTTCTATATCCTGGCCTGCTTCAGTGATAAGGGTGGAGGTTTGTGGGTGAAGGACCAAAACTACTTTCCAGTACACATATAACACTAAATAGAGGTTTGAAATGGTAACAACATGCAATAAACTTGTGAATGTGGCAGCCAGTCTTGACGTCCGAGTATTTTTCAAGGTATATAACTAAATATAAATTTAGTTATATACCTTTTTCCTAGAAAATCCTGACCATAAACGTACATAAATAAAAAAAATGATAATATGTGAAGTGAATTCAAGTTGTTGGTGGTGAATTTGAACAAATCTAGGCAATAGCTGGGGGGAGTCGAGGAATCTGGAAGCAAACGTGTGTGTGTGTGTGTGTGTGTGTGTGTGTGTGTATATATATATATATACACACACACACACACAAGGTGTATGACCAAGTATAACTCATTTTTCCTAGGAAATCCTGACAATTAACTGTTATGAAATATATAACTTTTTAAAAAAATTGTCATAAACAATCTTTGTGCAGACATAAATGCTTACATTGCATTTTGTGGAAAGTGCAGGTGTTTTTTTTTCTGTCAAAGTTATTCCTTGACCTTGCAGGGTGCAGGTGTGTGAGCTATCAGTAGATCTCTAGATAACATTGAAATGTGCAACTCACTTGGAAGGGATGTGATGTTCTGCTAATGTAAACTGTCAAATATTTGGACTTTTAAATGAAGGTGAAATTAGAACAACCAGGTAACTATATTCCTGTAGATGTACATAAAGAAGTGTGGACACACCTGGCCAAATGACATTGTGTTGATTTTTTTTAATGAAAAAAGATATGCTCTACAGAGAAGACATGTAAATATTCTACATTCTACACATTCTACTGCACCATTTATGTTTTTTTTACATATTGGGAAAATAAAACGTAAAATGTGCCATAACTTTTGCACAGGCCACATTAAATATTTTATTTTCTATCATAGTTCATATTCAGCAAAGAAACAATGATTGTGCATTAAAATGTGTGTTCTCTGTAGAGAATGTGTTCATTTATTTTACTTAGAAAATCAACAACACATTTGATCAGAGGTGCTCAAACGTTTGTGTATGACTGTATATCCACAGTGCAAAAGGCAGAGACCACCACTGATTTATTTAACATCCAGTCAAAACAGCCATTAAGTACCAGTTATTCATTTTTCAGCATCAGGTAAAAAGCAGAAAACATATTTAACCAAAGTTACGCAGAAGCCTCAACAGCTAAATATAATAAACATATTTTTCAGTGTTCAGTGAGTCACTCTATACCTTTATCACAGCTTCCATTCTTTTCAGGAGCCTCACTTTCAGTTCCTCAAAGAATCTGCAGACACACCTCCAAAGTTCAGTCTTAGAAGCTGGTTGACGTTTTCTGAACTAATCAAACACATTCAGTGGTGTTGAGGTCTGGACTCTGGGGTGGTCAGTCCATCGTTCAGCTTCTTTGTTTGATGTGTCCGTCTCCTTTTCTCAGTGAGGTTCTTCTTGACAGCTACACATCCTTTCAGACCCACAGCGCTGAGTCGTTTTCTCACAGTGGAAGGATGGACAGAAACACCTGTGGATGTTTTCAGATCTGAAGCAGCTTGATTTTCTCCTCTCTCTCAGAGATGAAAGCTTTAAGTGCTGTTTATCTGATGAGGGCAGTTTTAATGTCGACCAGGTCTTCGGGTGGTTGTTAGGAGGCCCGTTTTCTCTGTAGCTTTTCATTTACTGAAATGCAAGTGGATTATTTAATATTTAATCTCCTCAGAAATATCTCCTGAAAAATGAATATCTTGTATTTAATGGCTGTTTTGACCGGACGCTAAATAAATGAAGGGCGGTCTCTGACTTTTGCACTGTACTGTATATCTAACTGCACTATCACTGAACAATAACTTTTCATAATCCTACTTTTTTTTTCAAAATACTACAGACATTATGCAGAGAAAAACAAAAACACAACACATATCTAAAATACAGAATTGCTTTAATTGTAGAATACAGCATCAATTTAGCAAAAATAGTTCTATAATAGACAAAAAACTACTTGTTTTTTTTCCCAAAGTCCAGTTTATAGTAACAGAGTCTCCAAGACAGTAGGTCACCCACCAGAATCGTGAATATGGATAGAAATGAGATACATAATTGAACAGTACACTGCGTGGAGAAGCCTACAGCTGGAAGCATGCAATGTACCAGTGTTCAGGAATACCATGCCAAGCTTAGGAACTTGATTGCAAAAAAATCCTAATGGAAAAACAAACACATATCAGTTAAACAAATGGAAGCAGAGAGATAAAGAGGAAAACAAACAAAAAAAAAAGAAACACCTGTGTAATATTCCACGTGCAAGTCGTCTAGTGTAGTAATCTGGACCTCTATGAGATGCAAACAGCAAAGAACGAACGCGAGAGGGAGAGAATAACTCTGAGAACGCTAAGAACATAATGGTCAAACTCTCAGAGCCTTCATGACAAATGGAGGCACGTAAATCCACGACTACAATAGATCCCACGTCTGTCTTTCTGTAAGCAAATGTCATGCAAGTGGTGTTGACGCGCACTGTAAATGAGCCAGTTTCTCAGAGCAAATAAAACCCCACCTGTGGACTGAAGGGCTGTAAGGATGATGGATCTCGATTCAAATGTCTCAGGTCAGAGTAAAACCAGAACAATGTTAGCACAACCTGACCAATCATCAGGAGCAGAAATGACATTCTGCATATTACTGCACGATCGCATTTGTCTCATATACACCAATCAGGCGTAACATTATGACCACCTCCTTGTTTCTACGCTCATTGTCCATTTTATCAGCTCCACTTACTATATAGGTGCACTTTGTAGTTCTACAGTTACAGACTGTAGTCCATCTGTTTCTCTGCATACTTTGTTAGCCCCCTTTTACCCTGTTCTTCAGTGGTCAGGACCCCCATGGACCCTCACAGAGCAGGTACTATTTGGGTGGCGGATCATTCTCAGCTCTGCAGTAACACCGATGTGGTGGTGGTGTGTTAGTGTGTGTTGCGCTGGTCTGAGTGGATCAGACACAGCAGTGCTGCTGGAGTTTTTAAACACCTCAGTGTCACTGCTGGACTGAGAATAGTCCACCAACCAAAAACATCCAGCCAACAGCGTCCTGTGGGCAGCATCCTGTGACCACTGATGAAGGACTAGAGGCAGCAGCAGATGAGCTGTCGTCTCTGACTTTACATCTACAAGGTGAACTGACAAGGTAGGAGTGTCTAATAGAGTGGACAGTGAGTGGACACAGTGTTTAAAAACTCCAGGAACACTGCTGTGTCTGATCCACTCAGACCAGCACAACACACACTAACACACCACCACCACGTCAGCGTTACTGCAGTGCTGAGAATGATCCACCACCCAAACAGTACCTGCTCTGTGAGGGTCCATGGGGGTCCTGACCACTGAAGAACAGGGTAAAAGGGGGCTAACAAAGTATGCAGAGAAACAGATGGACTACAGTCTGTAACTGTAGAACTACAAAGTGCACCTATATAGTAAGTGGAGCTGATAAATGGACAATGAGTGTAGAAACAAATACCATATCAGGGAAATTACACTCTTAAAGGGGAACTCTGGCCAAAATGAAGAAGGTCACCATCACTGCATCTGTTATAAACATGCCTACTCACCTCCTACAGTGGGGCTACAATATTCTCTACATGAGATTTTTAGGTTTAAAGACTAGGAAACCCTTGTTTTGATGATGCATCTTGAAGGTGGGGGAAACTATCGAGTTAATTGATGCAGCAAGAAGCCAGAAAGCTACTGTTACTGCTAGGAAGCTGAACACCACGTCTGAATTTATTAGCCTATAGATCAGAGGCCACACTAGCAGTCGGGATTTCTTTCTCGCTGTTGGGGAGGATTCTCATTGGTGTATTGAAGTGATGCATGCTGGGTATTGTAGTGAGAAAACAAAAAGGATGCAAAATCATGAATTCTGTCAAACTGATGAAGCAGAGAGCAATGCTGCGCTACAGAACACTGCAATAACAAAACAGATTACACGTGCTACACACTTAAAAATGATGGTTCTTCAAGGGTTCTTTTGTAAAAAAAAAAAATGGTTCTATATAGAACCATGAACACTCAAAGAACCCTTGCCTGTTTAAAGTGTTCTCTGCATCGTGAAACTGTTCTTCAGATTGATGGAGAATGTGCTGTAGGTGGTTCTATATAGAAGCTTTTTGAAAAAGGGTTCTATATAGCAACAAAAGGGGTTCTTCTATTGTAACAAGCCTGATATCATAACCCTTTTGGTCCTATATAGAACCCTTTTCACAAAGGTTCTATATAGAACCATGAACACTCAAAGAATCCTTTGCATGATTAAAGGGTTCTCTGCATCACGAAAGGGTTCTTCACGTTGATGGAGAATGCGCTGTAGATGGTTCTGTACAGAACCTTTTCGAAAAGTGTTCTATGTAGCACCAAAAGGGGTTCTTCTATTGTAACATGCCTGGCATCATAACCATAGAAGAACCCTTTTAGGTGCTATATAGAACCCTTTTCAAAAAGCTTATATATAGAACCATTTTCTTTACTAAAGAACCCTTGTAGAACCATCATTTTTAAGTGTGTAGTTTTAGGCCCCTTCAATAATATATAGTAATAATATAATAAAGGTGTGAAAATGGGTTCTTTGGAGTGTCACTATAAAGGAACCGCATTTTATTCCCTATGACAATCTGAGCAAAAAGGGTTCTATATAGCACCAAAAAGGGTATGTAACAAGCCCAACATCGCAACGACAGAAGAACCCTTTTTGGTGCTATATAGAACCCTTTTTGAAAAGGTTCTTTATACAACCATTGTCTTTACTAAAGAACCCTTGAAGAACCATCATTTTTAAGTGTGTAGTTTTTGGCTCCTTCGAAATTAAAGGTGCGAAAACAGGTTCTCTGGAGTGTCGCTGTAAAGGAACCATGTTTTATTCCCTATGACAATCTTCGCAAAAAGGGTTCTATATAGTCACCAAAAGGGTTCATTTTTTAAAAGGTTCCTTGAAGAACCATATACATCAGGTTTACTACGTAGAGAAGAACCAGTTAACCTTGCTAAGAACCGTTTATGGGTTCAGTAGCTTCTTCGAGTGTTCATGGTGGTATATATAACCATTGTCTTTACTCCTTGAAGAACCTTTCTGAGGGGTGAGTAACAAACCTTTCAGTTATGTGGTTCGAATTAGGTCTTGAACTGGACCATCCGGAACCTTTTTCAGGGAACTAAACATGGTTCTTCTACAGCATCACTCCATAGAACCTTTTTTGGCAGCTTTATTTCTTCACAACACCCCTGTTCACTGAGAGGAACAGATGAACTCTGAACGGAAATGTCACCATGTCTAGAACTGATGCCACTCATTAATATGTTCATTAATATGTTCATTAATATGACGGCGGTATTAGTAGAAACTGTTACTTTGCTGTAGTTCATGGAGTCTGGATTAAAGCAGTTCACAGTCCCAGTCCTGGGGTTTCCGAGCTCCTCATGTTTCTCTGCTGATGCCGCTAATGAAAGGTTTGATAATTAGATGTGGAGCTGAATCAGGTGTGCTAAATTAGGGAAACCACAAATGTATGGAATTGGGATTGAAAAACTACTGAACTTATGCTGCGTTCATGACCAAGTGGGAACACGGAAGTATCTGATGGAAAAATCCATTTGAATGTGTTTCAGACTAATAATTCCCACTCAGAAAGTCAGCGTTTCTCAAGAACTCCGACTTCTCAGAGCTGCTTATTCTGTTATTTGAACAAGGCGTCACCCCTACACTGTGAAAAATGATATCATTAGCACTCAAATGATCGTATATCTAGTTCATGTATCTAATATTTTATTTTAAGACTGTTGTAAGCTTATTATAAGATTATTTAACTTGTTTCTAGGTGTTTGATTTCCTGACGTCAAATGATCTCACTATATTTGGCAGATAACTTTGCTTATTTCAAGCATATTTCTTACAACAAGCAAAATTACCTCCCAATATAGTGAGAAAATTTAGCTTAATTAAATTACCTAAAATAGATTAAAAAAAAACATTTAGAAATAAGTTAAAATATCTTACAATTTGCTTACAACAATCTATGAGCAATATTAGATACATCAACTGCATTTAAGATAATTTCACAAGCCGAGATATCATTTTTTGCAGTGTTGAAAAAGAAGTAATAGTGTGTTTTTAAGCTTTTTAAACATTTAAACATTTTGAGTTTCTGTTTATGCTTTTTGTGGATTAAGTTGTTAAACGCTAGTAAAATGTAATATTTGTAAGGTTAAGCTATTAAGCAATATTTTTGATCAGACTGGAGGCTTTTGTGTCAACTTTCGGCACTATGTAATCAACAGACTGCCATGGCCGACGTCCAGCCCTAAAATAAATGAAGCACTAACCAAACAGCTCTTTAATTCACATGTAAACACTTTTTGTTTGCACACAGTAGTCAAACAAAAGTGCTGGCTTACTGTGAGCCTCCAATATTCCCCAAACTTAAAGGTCCCATTACATGAAAAAAAATGTTTTTCATTAAAGAATTTGATGTAGTGTGTAAATACTGTCCATAGTGTCCATATATAGATACTAATCTGCAAAAACAGCTGGTTTTGAATTCAGAGATTTTGTGATGTCGTTAAAACCAATGCATTTAAAAGCATCCACAAATCCTTCCAGCCTACAGCAGATTAGCTCCACTCATTCACATTAAATACTGCAAAAAAAAGGCATCTTAAATCTAGTTTTTCTCATTTTGAAGTTGCAAGTTTATTATGAGATTATTTGTTGTCTATATATTTACATGCAGCCTGATAATCCGTTAATAATCCGACTAATAGCTGAATCAGAATAGAAGACATCCATGTAAACACCTCAATCAGAATAGTCTAGATTGAGGCCATTCAGAATACAGTTTCTATCCGATTGAAACGAGGTGGGTAATCCTGTAAATAATCTGTTAAATGGAGGAATAATATCCGTGTAAACTCCTGTATCTGATTACATTCCCTATCGGAAAGTTTAAGTCTGTTCTGATCATGTTCGTCACGTCATAGTTAAAGTTTATAAGGTTCAACAAGGCGGAGCAGAAACTGGTCTGCAGAGGAGACAAAGTTTATGCTCTGATCTTTAAAAGACGGCGGTGGGACGGACGTCCAGCTTATGTGTCTCAGAACACGACGTCTTCCTCTCGGCCTTCTTTAATAAGGACATGTGAAGGACGTTTTCCTGAGTCAGACATCATTTTAACGTAATTAAAACACAAGCACTGCTCACTGCTGCTCATCTCACTCTGACTGGACCTCATGTGATGCTGGTTGTCATGGTAACGTCTACACTAAGTGGTACTTGCGCGTAATTTTGGATCGGATTACTTGTAGTGAGCATGGAAACAGAGATTGTTATAAGAATGCTTGAAACAAGCAAGTCTTTGAGATTATCTGCCAAAATAGTGAGATAATTTGACTTAAAAGATAGAAATGAATTAAATTAGCTAATAATAAGATAACAACGATATCAAAATGAGAAATATTAGATACATCTGCTAGATTTAAGATGATTCCACTTGCCAAGATACCATTTTTTGCAATGAAGTTATAAGAAGTGTTTCAGCCCAGGCTGCTTTTTGAACGAACCGCAACGTAATGCAGCCAATCAGAACAGAGGTAATTTACATATATGAATGTTAAAGACACAGTAACAAAGCAGCCTGTTTATTTCTAAGGAGGCCATGGAAGGAATTATTACTGTTTTTGGTACTAAAACCCACATAAATGTCATAAGTGGACTTATATACAAGAAAAATCTAAATCACGCCCTAAAAAACTGCATGAATTTGAATGAATGCTTTTAGATGGGAAAATTCCGAGTCGGAAAATTCCAAACTCCCACTTGTCATGAACGCAGCATAAAGCCATTACGACAGCCTTGTCTTTACCCATCAGGGCGTTATTCTGCTGAAAGTGCATCGCCTTAATAATACTTACGCAGAGTTTCACACTGGCTGGTCCAATTACAGATACATTAGCATCGTGTCGTTTAAAGAATGGAGGGTGTTTCTTTTTCACTGATACAGACATACAGTCCCGACCCTCAGCCATTAAATAAACAGACAAACAAAAACAAACGTACAATCAAACAATTAGACAAACAAAAAGCATGAGATCCCAATGGTCAAGCATACATCAGATGTAGCCATTTACGCTAGCAGATGTTGCCCTTTCGTGCCTTTCTTGAGGAAAGTTCTGTGTTTTCTCTTCTAGTGCTAACAGGGAGGTATAAGCTGATCCTCGTCGGGCGCAAGAGGGCAACTTCTGACAAAAACTTGGTCTCCTTACAGTTTCCAAACACTCAAACCCAAGAGAGTGACCACACACCCGCTCAGACAGTAACGGATACATCGAAGCAAACAGAGGAGTGGAGCCGTAAGCCGATCTAATCTGACTTGTCTTTTTTCTTTGATGTAACTTTACCAGCCACCGCCGACCCCACCGCCCCGACCCCTCCCGTTACCACGGAGACACTGCCCTTGACCAATCCCACGCCGGCCGCTGGGACGCTCGTCACAGCGGTTTTGGTCAACTCGAAACTTTTGCTGCCCACCCAGGCCACGCCCCCGAGGGTGGCGCCCACGGCTCCTTTGGTCAGGTTGAACAGGCCGCCCGTCACTCTCCAGACCACGCCCGCCTCGCTCTTCGGATGATCCTTGTCCAGATCTGAAAAGAATAAACGTGTATTTTTAATTGTGAAGTTGATTATCAGGATTATCAGCAGAGCAGACAGCTGGGCCAGTGCTCGGACCTTTTAAATGCTTCGCTGTCATCATTTTTTTCCAATTCTGTCCATCATTTGAAAGCACCGACTACCCCTTTTAAAAGTCTGCACCTCAACCTGAGCCCGACTGGGCCCAACAAAACATCAAGCTTCAGGCCGGGTTCGGGATGATTTTTGAAGCACATCAGGCACAGGGTTGTTTTTTACTGAGTGATTTTTTTTATGCAGCAGATTTGTTTTCAGCTAACCCTTGTGTGGTGTTCAGGTCTGTGGGACCCATTTTCAATGTTTACCAGAAGAAAAAATGATGCGATTTATTATTATTTCAACCTCAGATTTCTTGGTCTTTGCTCATTTTCTGTGAAGAACATATAAAATAACCCATTTTCAGTGTCTTCACTCTGTTCACCCCCCTCACATTTATATTACACATGTGGTGTTGGGCTGAATGGGGAGTAAAAGTATGGAGGTGCTGTGTCCTTCACTCTGTTCTCCTCCTACATGGTCTGCTGTTAGTGTGTGTGTGTGTGTGTGTGAGGGTGGACAACATGGACAGGCTGTTGACTGGCTACAGCTGCTAAAGGAGAACCCTACACTGGACACTTGTGATATTTTAAACATCTGGTATTTTTACATCAATTGTTATGGCTGTATTGATTTAATAACTTACGCAGTTTTCACAAAGATTCTGACATTCACCAATGTTTTCTTATTTGGGATTTGTTCTTAGGTACACTCTCAGAAAAAAAGGTATGACACTGTCCCTGGGGAAGTTCCCCTCTTGTCACTGGGGTGGGACCCTCAAGGGTCCATCTCAGTACCTTTAGTCAGGGAACATAACTGAACCATAATCCACTGAAATGATATGTTCTAAGCTGTACTGACTCCACACACCCCGTCTCGTCTCCAGGCTTTTATTTTACTGTTCTGTTTTAAAACATTCAGTTATGAAAAGGTACAAATACGAACTTTTCACCTGGAAAAACTTATTTAAGGTTCACAATCAGACCTTAAAACCACTGTTGTACCTTTGAGGTACATTTACATTGTTTGTACCTTGATGAATGAAAAATGTACCTGCACAGAACCTTTATTTCTGAAAGTATAAGAACAGAATCTACACACACTCAAGAGCACAAAGGTGAGAATATTTCTCAAGAACAATAAAAAAAAACAAGAAATTGGAGAATGAGGCCCAATGGTTATGCCAAAAGTTTGGTCAAATGGCATCTTCTGTTGTTAAACTAAGTTAACACCCTTCTGCACATTTAATGCACAATTACTGTTTATTTACTTGATTTAACCTATTGGGGAAAAAAACAACATGGCCTTTGCAAAAGTTGCATATATTATACTTCATGTTTTACTTTTCTCCAATATGTTAAATAAATGCAAATTGTGCACTAAAATCAGCAGATAAATGTCATTTTTAAGTGTGTTCCCTGTACAGCAGTGGTCACCAATTCTCCTCTTGTAAGATCTACTCTCTGAAGATCTACTCCCCCTATCTAGAACCATCTTCTTTACTAAAGAACTCTTGAAGAACCATCGTTTTAAGTGAGTACTTTCAGATGCTTATCTTGATCAAAGCGCTTCCATTAAAACAGCTGATTTTAAAGATTAGCCGGTTAGTAGGAAAATTTACTGGATTGGTATCGGTATCGGTCGATACTCAAGGATTCAGAATCAGTATCAGCACTGGAGAAGAAAGCGGTACAGTGCCATCTGTAAAACAGACGAAGCTATCTTTAGAGCTATGCCAATTCTGTTAGCTTTCCTAGCTGTACAGGGCCTACAATTTATTCCAGTACAACAGCAGTGGGCTGAGTGCAGTCTGGCCTTGGAACTGAGTGCAATATCATCGATCCTGAGCTCAACCCATTGAATAAAATTGCGGACAGCAATGTGCTCCAGCACCCGTCCGTCATATTTCGAGTCAAGCCTGGAAGGTTTATATACTGCTCTGAAATGAACTGAAGCTAATAAGCATGATAGGCAGAGCGCAGGTCATTCTAAAGGCTGGATATGGAGGCAAAGTGAACCGGAATCTGCCCACCGGCTACACAGTCTGACAGAGACAACGCAGTGTTGAGTCAAAGAACAAGCAATGTACGACTCCACTGCCTACCGCCGGCGTTCTGATCTGGAGTCATCATCCTCTGCTAACAGCGGAGGGTAAAATCACTAGCCCAGAGTCTGCAGCTTGATATCTGAACTGGAGAAAATGAGATTAAAAACTCTGCTCAAGGACACAGCAGCAGCAGCAGCAGCAGCAGCAGCAGCACTCCCACAACTGCGACAGCCACTGTTTACAGCTAAGTGAGACAGTAATTTTTAGAAGCAACAGCCAAAGTCGCAAAAATAGGAAGCAAAGTTGAGTAGAAGCTGGTTATACAGTGATATGCGATACAGGCCGCTGCTGATATATATGCTGATGTTTTCCATGTATATATCCTCTGATAGTGATACATAAATACAGGGTGTCCCAAAAAAACTGACATCATTTCGTAGTCTAATAACAGCCAATTCTCCCTCAAATGATCTCAAATTTTAACAAAATGTGTAAAAACTAACCAAGTTTAATTTTAAATGTTTTTAATGTCGTTCACTAGAAATGAAAAGGCATTTTGTGTGTTAGAATATGCTCAAACACAGTCAAATGAGAGTGAGCAGCGTGAATTTTCGAGAAAATTCAATAAAAACGCACCAGCTGGAAAGCAGATTTGGACATGGCACAAAAAATCCAAAGAGGAAGGCTGTCTGTGCAGGACAAAGGGGTCTGGACGACCACTGGTATTGGAAGAAATCGTCAAACGTTTGTGCGAAGCCCCAGAAAGTCTGTAAGGAAATGCTTGCGAATGACTGTAAGCCTATAAGCTGCGTGCATATTGAACATTTGTGAAGCTGTGAAATCGGTTATAAAATCTACATCCCTCTGTATTTCTTGCTTGAATTTTGATAAATAAATCTTGTATTGTTCAACATGAAGCCTATTCAATTTCGTTTGCCTGGGACAAGTAACTACTCAATTATTCACATCTCAAATTATGTCAATTTTTTTGGGACACCCTGTATATTCAAAATGTATTACTGCAATACTGTGGTCATGTGATGCCCACCGTGGAGATGAGGTCAATACCATCATTTTCACCATCATTAATCAAGCTTGGCATCTGTTTACCACATTACGAACAGCTCTCTGTCAGTGAGCTGAAAAGACTAGACTGACTGCATTTCTCTGTGCCCATTTAAGGCCACATGTGATCTATCATTGCTTTCTGTGGTCTCAGTGTGGCCTTAATTTAACATAGTAATGAAAAAATGCTGAGTGGCTTCCCAACTTAAAACACGTCTGAAACTGAAGCTACATTTACCTGGATTAGCATCACAAAGAAATATAATAATAATTTGTAGATTATGAATAAAAGGCAGGTATTTTAGCGCAGTAACCCGGCATCACCTAAACATTCTGCTCTTCCACAGTACAATAAATACATCAAATAACACCTGAAAATATCAGTCAAATTGAAACACCTGTCTGTTAATTACTATTAGCCCTAATATCCACCGTTAGCGATACGACTTTGATATCATCGTACATCCCTATACACACTATACAGACCCTCTGCTGACAATTTCACAACACTTCACAAATCATTTCTTAAGTTATATCCAGTTTAAAATAAATTATTGGTGTAAAAATGTTCATGTCAAACTCGCGCATCCGGACAGCAATAAAATTACGACAGGAGGTGCATGTTTTGGGCTGTAATTTCTACAAACCTGGATATTTGTGTTGCATGTGGTCGTATAATAATGCTTTGCACTCTCGGACAAAAAGGTACTAAACTGTCACTAGGGCAGGACCCCTCTTGTCACTCAAGGGTACATCTTAATACCTTTAGTCAGAGAACATAACTGTACCATGATCCACTGACATGATATTTTCTAAGTTGTACTGACTCCACACACCCCGTCTCGTCTCCAGGACTTTTATTTTACTGTTCTGTTTTAAAACATTAGATTATGAAAAGGTACAAATACAAATTTTTCACCTGGAAAAACTTATTTAAGGTTCACAATCAGACCTTAAAACCACTGTTGAGCCTTTGAGGGAACATTTACATTGTTTGTACCTTAATGAATGAAAAACGTACCTGCACAGAACCTTTATTTCTAACAGTGTACTCTTATGTGTGACGATATTGTGCATATAAAATGTTTGGATGGTATTATGTAGCTCTGTGAATATAAACTACTTTATGGATGTATCCGCCACTAAAATCTCCACTTTACTCAGCCTGCGAGATCTCGCTTCTCTTTATTTTGCTTCTCCTCCTGCGAAAGTGTAGAGGATGGAGAAGTTCTACCAATATCAGAGTTGCAACTTTGTGGTACAAGTTTCATGAAACAGCCATTCAAAACACAGATGACGCATCACATGATCACATCAAATGACACTGTATTAAATGACTGATTTCACCGGGTCAATGGACAAAAACAGTAGTTTGTTGGACAGTTGAGAGTGAGAAACGTTGGTAGTTTTTCATTTGTACTAGTTTCTTGAGCCACAGCAGCAAATAAATGTGTGTTTCTCTGAATGAACACTTCCATAAGCAGCTGCATTAACAGCTGTTTAAATGACCGCTTGCGCCAGCGTTTATTCTTCTAGCCTGCTGTAATTATGATCTACATATATATTTAGCATTTAATGACATCCCATAAAACCTGAGATATTCAATAAAACATCCTAAAATACCTTCTGGTGTCTGACTTACATCATTCCAGTCCAAACTGTAGAAGTTATTATTAAATGAAATAACCACAATTATTAAGAGGATGAGTTATTCCAAATGTAGTTTACAGATTACAACTCAATCTTGAGCCCAGTGAAGATCTAAAAAGCCATGTTGAAACACTGTAATGTTGTGGTTCTGTTCAG